AAGAAAGTCCCTTAGTAGGGAGGCTAATATGCCTTCCTGTCAGCTCAATTGCTGAAAAAAGAACTGAAGGTGCTTTTCAAGGTGCACCAGCCTTTTCCATCTCCTGGAAATCTCAAGGAGCCATATCTGCATGGTCTGAATTGTCTGCCTGCCTCCCTTTGCCACCAGGGCTTGACAGATACTAAGCGGTAAGAGACACTTGCATGAAGTGCAAGAAGAGATGTATAATCCTCTGTACCATATTTAAAATGGGCCACGGATGTAAGCTGCACTTATGTACATGCAATAATAATACAATAATAAAACTTTATTTATATCCCATCACCATCTTACAGCTTACAAAGCACTCCAGGGTGCACAACACATCACTATGGGGATGTAACACTGGCCATATAAACCAAAATCACATGAGAAACTGAACATTACATAAAAGCATCTGCATTTTGAGATAACTTCAACTTTAGTCCCACCTAGTGTATATCTAATAAAATTTAGTTGCTTATGATTAACATCACCTGGCATTTTAGTATTGCAATAAGCTCCTGTAGGACTCAAGCAACACTGAAAATAAAACAAATTGGAAAAGATGAAGAAAGAGGACAGGAAGGGAGAGGAGAAATGTGATGCCTGCTTGGGTTTGGATACAGTCAGCACTAGAACCAGATAAAAACTGAATCATCTGCAACTAAATGGTGATCAAATATGAACACGGGGGATCTATGGGCAAGCCCTCTGGAAATCTTCTTTTTAAACAGGTGCTGGGTTTGTAACATTACATGGTGTTTTCCATTTAGCTTAGCTCTGAGATACCTCTCAGGACGTTCCTCAGGTAGCTTTCTTACATTGGTTTTTGATTAGGCTAACAGAAAAACATTTGCATATTCCAGAGTTCCTATATATTTGCATACCACCAAGGGCCACTTTTAGTAATTATTCTAATTAGAGATCAGTAAGAACTAATTGCAACATGTCTGCCCGGAATGATCCCTACTTCTTGCTTAGCCAGGCTTCCTGGAAAACAGGAATTTAAGAGACAATGTACTTAAAAGAAATATACTTTAAATCGCAAGACGGTTGCGTGCCTCAGTAACCTATATCATCTATGTCAGCAGAAACTCTAAACATGTTGAGATCCACACACCACAGGTGAGTAATACTATAATACAGCAGGCAATATTAATAAATCCTGTTTATCAAGAAGCAGAAAGCAAATGCCTTGACCTAATGAATTATTTGAGACAGTAATGTTACCTGTACGCCCATCTTCTTAGCTAGTAGATGATTTTCACAAACCTGCAAAAAGAAGAAATAAACAATCAAGAGAGGAAAGGCATTTGCTCAGAAGTTGTTTTGGAACTGAATTTTTAGAATTTCAACGTGAAGTACAATGGCAAAGATCCAGTCTACGGCATTTCCTCATGTGTGCAAAGTCTGTAAGCTAACAGGGCTTCCCTCACCCAGATGATTAGTCTGGAAGGTATAGCTTCTGGTTCTTTAACAGATTTTCGGCATACAGCATGGGATTGTGGAAGTAGTTTCACTCACCTGACTTTTCCAGATTGTTAGCAAGTCTGACAGATTCACAGGATCAAGGAATCTGCAACCTGCTATCCACTTTCTCCAGGGGAAAAATACTGAAAGAGCACTGACAGTGTTGTTTCTCACTTTTGAACTTTGCTCTTTGTCCTATCAATTTTTATTTTTCAAACTACAGGGATTGTCACTTGTAATTACCTTGAAGGATTTTTTTAAAGATAAGGACTGATCGTTTGATACAGTTCCTGAAAAAGGCCAATTTAAGTAGATAAGAACATGATCCTGCAACTATGTTTTTTTCTGATAAAATGATATTTTATCTCATTTTTCCAGGTCCCTTTGCATGCTATACTTATACTATTATGCTCCATGTTTATAGTCGTGTTATCTCTTAGATATTAGGCACATAGCTTGCTTTAAGAAAACAATATACATATTTAGCAAATAACATGAAAGTTAAGCCTCTTGTTTAGCAGTTTCACTTTGTCCGCTCATTAATCCCTCAAAGAGTGGCAAGGATGACTTCATTCTTTGGGGATTATTCATGTCAAAGGTAATTTGGCAGATTTCTCTCAACCCATTCACCTGGATTTACAACACACAAAAACAGTCCCCAAGTTGTAAACAAGATAGGTGCTGTAGGTTTGGTCTTAAACTGATTATGTTTACAAGTTTGAACAAGTACATTTTGTAACTCTCTCTCTCTCTGTATACATACACACACACACACAGATAGAGTTACATTTACAAAGTGTACTTGTTCACACTTGTAAACAAATTCAACTTAACACCAAAACTACAGAACCTATCTTGTGCACAACTTATACATACACACATGCATGCATGCTTTGGATATCATAGGGAAGGCTTAACACCCCTCTGGTTTTTGTTTTGCTGCCTGTGCCTCTGTTCCGAAGATTTCATCTTTCTTTCTGTCTCTGTGATAATTGGGTTTTGAAAAAAAACTGGCTTGCTGTGGTAACAAGGATTGGTGATAAAACTTCAGTGGAGTCACCTTTTCCTCATAACACTTTCAAGACTGAATTTCCCTTCCTAGGAGTAGATTTTTTTTTCACTTCTTATTATCTCACTCCATTCTTAACTATGAGTCGTTTTTAAGTCAGCTGGTAAGTGGCATTTCTAACCACAATACTACCTGGGCTTCCAGGAACAGTGTCGGGTACAGGAGGATCCCCAAACTGTGTACCTTTCCTTTCTTTGAACATTGTTGTTCAAGCCGGTTGCAACACCAATGGCCAGTCTCTATATATATTCTCAACCTTTTCTGGATTATCTTAGCTTGTTTATGCTTATGTCTGAATTTTTTGAACACTTGTTCAGAATTTCCATCACTTATTTTGACCACAGCCATTGTAGTACCATATGCCTCCAAGCACAACCATAGGGAAACAGTGTGATGCATTCATTTATAGTACTGAAAGCCACAAAGCGATCAAGTAGAGCAAACACAGGTGCATCCACTCTTCCCTCCATATCCCAGTGCAAGTCATCCACTTGGGAAGGCAGCATGTATTCCAAAACAAGGCAGAATGTTAAACTGATATCGATTATCCAACACTCTACTATTTTGCTCAAAACAGAAGCAGATTTGGCACTGACATAATGAAACCATCAAAACTAGTTGTCCAGCCCTGTGGATGCCTAAAGAAGTCCAAAGTCAAACAGAGAATGATCTGCAACTGTTACACACAGTTCATCGTCGATCAATCCACCACAGAAAATTAGATCCAAGCCTGTTCTTTTAGTATCGCCTGCTTTATGTTACCAGAAGGACCAGAAGTTCGATGTAGCTAATGCCTTATTTTAAACTCTTATCCCAGAGAAGGGCAGCAAAATCAAATTCACACAGATTTTGAGTTCCATAGAAAACATATTTTCTATTATTCAGCTGGAATAAGTATTTTATCTTTCAATCCCATAGAAACCATCTAAGATCAAATATACCCTTGGGAATTATGTTCTCTTCTATTCTAACTGAAAACCATAGGTCACAATTACTAGAAATTCTGAGAACTATGGTCCTATCTACAGTGCTATATAAAATCCAGGTTATTTGCTTTGAGATGGATTATATGGCAGTGCAGACCTAGGCCCTTTTTACACTGCCTTATAATCCAGATTATCAAAACAGATAGTCCACTTTATCTGCTTTGAACTAGATTACAGTCCACACTGCCATATAATTCAGTTAAAATAAGATAACCTGAATTTTATATATCCGTGTAGAAGGGGTCTCACATAATCCAGTTCAAAACAGATAATATGGATTATCTGTTTCGATGATCTAGACTATATCACAGTGTAGATCCAGCCTAATTTAAAGGGAACAGTGATACAAAAGTAAATTAGAAATCACAGGTGATCATCATGACAATCATTACTGGCTTTTGGTTACATGCTTAGTATGTTCAGGAAGCTCACTTGAGGTGGTAAAGCTTTATTTAAGATAACCAAGAAAAGCAAACTATGCCACTACTATTGATACTGATGAGTATCAAATGCATCATAAATGTATAGGCAACACAATTCAAATAATAGATGGGCTTTCACCCCATTTGTTGAGGTACAGTATATACATTACATCTTTCTGGTCTTTCCCCCCATTGGCCTATTAATCAAAATATCCCTAAGTTAACCCCTGTATCAGCCGCCAACCGAAACAACTTTGGGACTGCTATACTTCCTATAGCATACTCATGAATCTACCAACATAAAGATAAGAATTCCTAACTAATGAAAACTCTCCATACAAGGTTCTACTCAAGGGAGTGATATCAGCATGTTAAAAGTATTACACCTACCATCATCACCGGATGATGCATACATCATCATATACATGCATATAGCATCTTAAACAAATGAATTAACAGATGGACAGACACAATACAGTAACAGTGTTCATACAACATAGTAATAGTATTCCCCTAAAGAGCATGACAGGACTTAAGCTTAATATCTTGATACTGACACTAACTAAGGCGAACTCAAAGACATAGGAAGCTATATTACTCTTTGCATATATCAGGAGCAGGTCAAGGAGCCACGTTAGATCCCTTCTACACTGCTATATAGAATCTAGATTATCAGCTTTGAACTGGATTATATGGCAGTGTAGACTCATATGATCCAGTTCTAAGATAATGTGGATTTTATATGGTAGTGTAGAAGGGACCCAAGTCTATAGTAGCAAAAGTGCTAGTTAACAAGTTCCACGTAAAATATGATTTGATGGAGTGAAATCCACTAAAACTAGAACTTATTAAGTTCCCCAAGACTATTTGTTGTTTTGTATTACGTATGTAGGTGTATAAATCCTTGGCTGTCTCCTCATCCTGTAAAAAATGCAGTGGGAATCTAGTAAGTACTCATGACAATTACAAGCAGCTCAGCTCAGTGCATATTTACTCAAAAGTAAATTTCACAGAAGCACAAAAGGTGCACAATTTCCTTTCCCTATAAGTAATATCCACTGAACTCTATAAGATTCATTTCTGAGTAATTGCACAGACCACTAAATGTTAAGCAAGATGAGCACCATAATTCCCTATAGATGTAAGCTGCTCTAAATCCCCCTTGGGGTGAGAAGGGCAGGATAGAAAGATGGCAAATAAATAAATAAATAAATATGCTCAAATATGAATTCCAAGTTCACTACTTGTTCCCAACTAAACAAATAAGCAGACACAGCATTTCAGTCATGATATCATTCACTATTCACAGTCCCCTCGGGGAGATAGGGCAGGATATAAATAAAGTTCATTATTATTATTATTATTATTATTATTGTTATTATTATTATTATTAACAATTCATGACAGGCACACTTTCACTATAGAGATAAACGTTTCTCTCAAGGTTCTCTCTCAAGCATACAGTTTCTTTCTTTTATTCTTAAAATTCAAGAAGTCAGCAAAAAAAAAAGAAGCAAAAAAAGCTGTGTCTTACTATTTATTTATTTGCTTCACTTATACACCGACTTTCTCACCCTCACATGGGGACTTCAAGGCAGCTTACAACTCTGGCAAGATTCAATGCTGTTTAAAACATAACCATAAAACATATCCCATCAATTAAACAATTAAAACAGTTAAGCAAATAAAACACATAGAATAATAACTGATTCAAAACATATAAAGCGCACAATACCATTCATCCATAATACTTGCTCATATTCCTTATTAAGCCTATGTCAAAATCCGTAATAGCTTCTTCTTCATCAATTTCCTCCTCTCTTTTTTACCTGTCTAGTTTGTGCTTAGCTGCAGCTATAGAGAGTTCGCACTATCTCCAGTCTTCCCAGAAACTGTTTCTGCTTTTCCTCTCTCCTCTTGTTTTTACTGCTTTCGGTATGATAGCTGTTGACAGGGCAGGAGGGGCGGGCTGTAAGGAAGCAGATGATTCCTCTTGACCTGCAAACAACATGCATGAAGCTAGAGCCAAGATCATAATTGGGGCTGGCAATTGTGTAATCAATTAATAATGGATTATACAGGTAGATTACAATAATTTACGACAGACTTATTAAAACTGTCATAGGGTTTAGTAACCTCATCAAAGAAGCAGCAATTCACATTGCTCTGGGGCCTTTCCACACAGCTTTATATCCCAGAACATCAAGGCAGAAAATCCCCCAATAACTGCTTTGAACTGGGTTATCTGAGTCCATACTCAGATAATGTGGGATTTTCTGCCTTGATATTCTGGGATATAAGGATTGTGTGGAAGGGCCCTTGGTTGTGCTCAAACACCACAATATCCGCATAGGAATTTTATGAGGGCTTCCACATTGTCTCTACCCCTCTCATATATAACAGTTCAAAGATTATCAGATGGCTTGAAATTTGTTGGAAACTATGCTGCCATAACAATTGATAATGCTTTCATGGGTCATTTTTCTCAGTTTATGGAGTGACTGTGGGAAGGAAGCTGTCTCCACCTTTGCAGGATGGGTGATTTTACCCCCCCCCCCCCGCTGCCCAAATTATAGTTTCCTTGCAGAGAGCTTTTAGCTTTGAGGGCCCACCTAGAAGCAGGCAGTGTAAAAACATCTTGACTCATTTTCCCCCTTTATTCTCTTTGTTGCCATTGCCTCTGTGGCATTTTAATAGTATCCCCTCCTTAGTGCTGCTTAACCAGTGTGTTTGTCTGCTGGCACAGAATCTTGGGTATTGTTTTCTGGGTGTTCTGTACTCAGTACTTGGACGGGAAAACAACAGGAAATATTATGGAATCTCCAGGAAGGTCAAGGAAAGAATTTCCATCTAAAAAGCTGAAGAGTCTTTTTTGCCTGTCTGCAATGGGCTACAGGAGCCAGTGGTGTTTGACTCAGGCAACTTCTTCTATTCCTACAGAATAATGTCAAGGGGTAAAGGGGGACACATTTACAATCTCTTAATCCTCTTCAATACCCCCCCCACCTCAAATCTGTAACACTGGTAGCAAACACCACTTAAAGGGATGGTGCTGCTGAGTTTGCATTATATGCCAAGTTGCAGATCTTTAGGACAGCATTTTTTACATTCTCATTATTCATTTCTTCTATTCTTTTATTGTGGTCTTACAGTCTTGCTAAAGGGGTACAATACACATTCAGTCAAGAATCACATAGGATAAAGGAGGGAGGGATAGAATGAAACCATGGAAAAGAACACAAAACAGATGAAGTTCACTTTCACCAGACAGCCTTCCCTAGTACAATAAGTAGGGGATTTTTTCTCTTGTTTACCTACTCTAAACCTCAACAACCAGACAGTAGGGCTACATTAAATCTTTCTTTCTTACTCTCATTGGCTGTTTTTGGCCCACTACCATGTTTTCCTAATATTTTAGCCAGTATGTGGGAGGCAACTAAGCCAGCATTAAAAATCAATATTCCTTCTTCTGATGTGCAAGAAGTAAAAGTACATCACCTAATCCCATCTGATTTTAAAAGCTAAGCAAGTTGTGACCTGCCTAGTACTTTGATACCAGGTAACAAGGTAATTCAAGGAATCGCCAGGCACAATCACAGAACTGGAAGGACCTCTTGGTTCAACCCCAACTAAAACATCACCAGCAGGTACCTGCAAGAGATCCAGAGACAAGTTGACGTGCTCAGAGAAAAGGGGGTGATAAGATATGGAGGAAAAAAACATACGAGGAGCTGAGCATATTTAACTTGATGGAGATGAGATTAAGTGTTGTGGCGCAGCTGGTTCGGAGTCAGCTGCATTAAAATCACTACTGACAGAAAGGTCATGAGTTCGAAGCCAGCCCGGGTTGGAGTAAGCTCACGACCATTTGTTTAGCTTGTTGTTGACCTTTGCAGCCCAAAAGACAGTTGCATCTGTCAAGTAGGAAATTTAGGTACCACTTATGCTGGGAGGCTACTTTAACTAATTTACGACGCCATAAAAATCTCCAGCAGCGTGCAAAAGAATGAGGAAGTACTCCATCGGTGTCACAAGTGGACTGTGAAGCAACAGCTCCCCTGGTGGCTGGAATTCGAACATATGCTCATTAAACTGGAAGCTAAATAGCCTCTGTGTGTCTGTCTATATATGTTGTGTGTCTATGGCATTAAATATTTGCCATGTATATGTGCATTGTGATCCACCCTGGGTCCCCTGCGTGGTGAGAAGGGTGGAATATAAATACTGTAAATAAATAAATAAGTAAATACTTCAAGGGCTCTCACGGAGAGGAGAGTGCAGAGGATAGAACTACATCAAATGGTCTCAAATGATAGGATAGTAGATTTTGACTTAACACTAGAAGGGACTTCTTGACAGTGAGAATGGTTTGACAAGGAACCAACTGTCCCAAGGGGTGATGAGTCTTCTTCTCTGGATGTCTTAAAAAAAGAAGCCAGACAGCTCCCTGCTGGGGATGCTTTAGCTGAAGATCCTGCATTGTGCAGGCAGTTGAACTTAATGGCACAGAAGCCCCCTTCCAGCTCTGATTCTATGAACAGAGAAAGGATTCCTTGAAACACTACAGATATAAAACACATGTCCATCATAATTACGCACACACATGGATTCTTCTCAACCAGTTTTATATTTTACAGGTCCTTTACCCATACCTATGATTTAGACAAAGGCATTCTTCTACTACACGTTTACTCAATTGATACAATCTTGTGATATAAACTGTCCAATACTACATAGATTATTTATTTATTTATTTATTTCGGGTACTTCTACCCTGCCCTTCTCAACCCCTAAGGGGGACTCAGGGCGGCTTCCAACCGGCATACGTTGATGCCTACAATTCACACAATAAAATTCATAGTAACAATAGTTATAACAATTTAAAACATTACATTAATACAATAAAAATACAATAAAAAGCCAGCCTGGTGGCCATCGTTTTGCCAAGTCTGTAATTAATAAATTCATTCCGCTTAATATAGTCTGTTTCCAAAGCTTTAATCATCATTGCCCATTGTCAGTCTGCCAGATTACCCAAAGGCTTGGACCCATATCCATGTTTTTAATTTCCTGCTGAAAGAGAGGAGGGATGACAATGATCTAATTTCCCCGGGGAGTGAATTCCACAGGCGGGGGGCCACCACCGAGAAGGCCCTGTCCCTCGTCCCCACCAATCTCGTTTGTGACAAGGGAGGGGCCGTGAGCAGGGCCCCTCCAGAAGATCTTAAATTCCTAGGCGGGACGTAGAAGGAGATACGTTCAGACAGGTACGCTGGGCCGGTGCCGTATAGGGTTTTATAGGTCAAGACCAGCACTTTGAATTGTGCTCGGAACTGAATCGACAGCCAGTGGAGCTGACATAACAGAGGGGTGGTATGCTCTCTGTATGATGCTCCAGTGAGAAGTCTAGCTGCCGCCCGCTGGACTAGTTGAAGTTTCCGAACAGTCTTCAAAGGCAACCTCATGTAGATTGCGTTGCAGTAATCTATTCGGGATGTAACAAGAGCGTGGCCAGATCAGACTTCCCAAGGTACGGGCGCAGCTGGCGCACAAGTTTTAATTGTGCAAAAGCTCTCCCAGCCACCACCAAGACCTGGGGTTCCAAGCTCAGCGATGAGTCCAGGATCACTCCCAAACTGCGAACCTGCGTCTTCAGGGGGAGTGTAACCCCATCTAACACAGGCTCACTTAATCACTTAATGTTATTAACCAAGAACTTGTATTCCAACAGGAATGCTAAAATAATAGTTGGCATTTCTGGCTCATTAACTGATTTTGTCTCGGTGAATAAAGCAAGGATAACTGTTGCCATCATAACACTTTAATTTATACCTGAACTACATAATCCCACTATTTCCTGGCGCTTAATTTTGTCCGTCCTCAATTGGGACAAAGCTGTCTTATTTTATATGCAGATAATGTGGTTTAATTCCACTTACAGGTCTGAGAAGGCAGCTCTTTACGCTCAGCACCGTTTGTTCTTAAATAACTGAACATTAACTATACTAAAACAAAGGTGCTAATTTTTGGAAAAGGACATCCTGTTCTCAGTGGTCATGAGATTGAACAATGCATGGAATTTAAGTTCCTGGGCATTCTTTTTACAGAAAGCCACTCCTGGAAGCCTCATATAGAAGCTACTAAAGCAGTAATCTTGAGATCTGTTAGAGCAATCTTTAGATTTTTTTCCACCATGTAGGGGGTCAATAGGCCTGAAAATATTCCAGTTCAGTCATTGCCCTGATTCTGTACAGCGGCACTGTCTGGGGATGGGATGACTCTCAGGGCCTTCCAAAAAGGCCCTATCTTCCAAGATCTGATCCCAGGTTTTCTGCTCTAAACTGGATTATATGAGACCGCGCTGCCGGATAATCTAGGCGAAACAGAAAACCTAAGTTCAGATTCTGGGATATAGAGCCTGTTTGATAGGGCCCTCAGACTCTCAAAAATGGAAGCTCTTCAGAATACACGAGTTTTAAATTGCATTTAAAAAAATAACAACAATTGAGACTAAAAAAGAAAACATTTCTTGAGAAATTGCAAATACTTTCATCTGGTACATTGCAGCCCTAGTTCAGGCAAAGGTCAGTTTACCCTCTATTAGATCTCACGTTTCATTTTATTTAACTACTGGAGAATTTTGAAAGATTTGCCGGAGTTTTCCTCAAAATACGTTTGAACAGCTATCAAACTGCAGTTTGGAGTTCAAGATATAAAAGGTTGCTTCAACTGTATCCTACTCTGCTTGACAATTGTTCTATCTTGAATTCTAAAGTATTGCGAGTATGGTTTTTCACCATGGTACACAACTGGACAGACGGGCCTTAATAACAAATTTCTCAAAATGGCAGAAACTATAATTTGACTATCAAGGGGCTTACCTGGCAAAGCTTATACTTCCAAAGTTAGGCAAATGCTTACAGCCCTTCGCTTTCAAGCCATGCCTACTGCTATGATTGATGGCAGATATCCTTGTATTCTTCTGATCCTCTATTTGTGGAGCCCTAGAAATTGATTATTTGTCCTGTTATTTCCTCTTCTGTTCATCATATTCTTAACCAACAAGCAAATTATTTGCATCTATTCTAGCTTATTTATTTTCTAATAATGTTTCAGAATTTTTTTTAATCTCTTGTCTGATATTAATTCCATGGTAACTTGAAAGGTTTCTTTTTTTGCCCTGGCTGAGATGAAAAATTAGGCAAGATTTATCACTGATATTCCAACCAATTCCTCTGGGGATGCTTTTACAGTATTGTTTATATTTAATGTATGCATTGAATTGAATATTTTGCATATATTTTATGTAGTACTTTTATACTGCTACATTAAATATTGTATGGGAGTGACTTATGGTATAATATTAATAAACTACTTATGATCATAAGTGAAGACATCTGCTCTTGTGCTTTGCTACCTGCTGCTGAGTATGCATGCCCAGTGTGGAACACATCTCACCACACTAAAACAGTGGATGTGGCTCTTAATGAGACATGCTGCATTATTACGGGGTGTCTGCGCCCTACACCACTGGAGAAATTACACTGTTTAGCCGGTATTGCACCACCTGACATCTGCCGGGAAGTGGCAACCAATAGTGAAAGGACCAAGGCAGTGAAATTTCCAGCTCATCCCGTTTGGGTATCATCCAGCACGTCAACGACTTAAATCAAGAAATAGTTTTCTAAGATCTACAGAGACACTTGCTGGAAACCTCAGCAAGCGAGAGTCCAAGAGTGGTAGGTTCAAACCCAGAACCTCAATCAATGGCTGATACCAAATGAGAGACTCCCCCCTGGGCACACAGAAAAATGGGCAACTTGGAAGGCGCTGAACAGACTGCGCTCTGGTACCACGAGATGCAGAGCCAACCTCAAGAAATGGGGCTACAAAGTAGAATCCACGACATGCGAGTGTGGAGAAGAGCAAACTACAGACCATCTGCTGCAATGCACCCTGAGCCCTGCTACATACACAATGGAGGACCTTCTTATAGTAACACCAGAGGCACTCCAAGTGGCCAGCTACTGGTCAAAGGGCATTTAATCAACTACCAAGCTTACAAACTTTGTGATTTGTTTGTTTTTTTAAAAAATTCAATACAACTGTTTGCTTTGCTCCTGACATGATAAATAAATAAATAAAGATCACAATTAAAGGAATCTCTCACCACTCCATGTTTTGAATTGCTACTACACTTCACATTCCTTCACCCTTGCCTTGGAATATATCTCTGTCCACAGAGATTTCACTCCATGCACTGCAGTTTACAGAAGCTTATGCCAGAAAATTCTTATCTAAGTTTCAAAGGTGTTTCTGGATTCCTTTGTATATTTTTCTAATAAATATGTTTAAGCAGGGGTAAAGTGAAGATTGAAACTCTGGTGTTAAGGAGTAGGTCAAGAAAAATAATTGAGCTGAAGTTCCTTGGGGAAACAAAAGGGCTTGAGCCTTACCGAAGGAGGTAAGATGAAGGCCAAATCAAAGCACCACAGAAGAAAGGCTGAGACAAAGGTCTTCAGATGACTGAATATCCCAGTAGTGCTCATGTTAGTAAAGCAGTAAATCCATTATGGCCTTTTATTTCAAATTTTATTATTTATTTATTTATTTCACAGTTTTCTATACCGAGCTTCTCAACCTCATTGAAGGACTCAGCCCGGTTTTAGAGAAACTATCAAAGGTCCCTTACACACAACTGAATAAAATCCCACATTATCTGCTTTGAACTGGAATATATGGCAGTGTGGACTCAGATAATCCCGTTTCAAAGCAGATATTGTGGGATTTAAATTTTGGAATAAACCCCAGTTGGATTAACTATTCTACAGACATTGGGTCCACCATATTCTACTGTATGGCCCTAAGAAGTGCATGAAAAAGTCAGTCCAAAAGAGAAATTCGGGAGAAGGAGGAGATTCTCAGCATTAATGTTAACATCATGAAGAATGTTATCAAGAGAGAACAATGGTGAGCCAAGCAGCAGGATCTGCAGAAGAAGAAAGTGTGTGTATGAATTACTGTGTTGCAAATTGATGCATGTCTAAAAAGTGTGTCATCAATATAAAATATTCGGAAAGCTCTGCCTTAAACAATTCCCCCCCCCCCCAAATCACAGATTGGTTTTATAAATCCTTTTAACCTAGAAACAAATTCTTTTATTTTAAAAAGGATAAGCCTTTTAGCAAAGAGTGCAACAACCCTTTGGAAGTAACTGAGAATGAATCTCAACTGAGCATTTCCAAAGGCTAGGAATGATAGTTGCCCACCAATTTCTGATGGTCCTTGTGAAGTCTTGGCTCTGCCTTCTCCTCTCCTCTGTGTTAGTTCTCCTGTATACAGGCCTTCCCAATAGTGTAGAGACTTTTCTTTGTATTAGTTTTTGTGTGAATCTTAAAATCCCCCCACAGGCCAGTCTTAGCTGGTCTATTTCATTTCCCTGTATAGTGCTCTCTTGATGGACTCCGCCCTTTTCTACAGGCTTGTGGCGTTGTCTGGTAATCCTAGGCCAAGGAATCCAAAAACAGGCATTCTTAGCACCTGGTGCATTTAGCAGTATTTTTATATACCACAGTCCAAAGGACAACAGAAGCTTTTGGTCAGCCTAAGCTTCACAAGGAAGATTGTGACAGTTCACCACTTTGCATCAGAGGCAGAAGATGCCAGAAATATGACTGCAACCAGTAAGTTCTCCTTTTGTAATGTATTGTTTTAAGTTACCTTATGATAGTCCCGAGTGGAGTTAACTCTTTTATTCCTCTTGTTTGTAGTAAACTCATTTTGGTTATCTTTTCACTTTGCCTAAAGAGCTTCTGTCTGCTAAGGGACTTAATCTTAACAGAAGGTATCCGATAGCCCCTGAGTAAAGACAGACAATAGTCTTCCCAAAAGCTCAAGTGTGCCATCACAGTCCCATTCATGTTCCCCGCCCGGCACAGAAAACGAAATTATAAAAAGGAAGAAAGAAGAGGGAGAAAAAAGAAATGTGAGAGCTCCTTTTTATTTTCACAAGCGTTTCTGTGGGATATAAACCCACACTTTTGGATGCAATAAAGGTAATTAATTATCTGGCTTATTCTCACTCTGCCTTGCATCTAAATAAGTGGTCTTATATATATGTGTGTATGTATTTGCCCCCTCCAAATTACTTAAATATGTTGCCATCTTTCTTGCTTCTCTCTCTCAAGAGACTAACAGGGCCACTTCAGGCAGTCCTATCCCACATAGCACACTCTCAACATTAAGGGTTTATGCCCACGTTAATAAGAGTACCCAGGAAAGAAGTTTTAAATGCTACAAAACACTTTGTCAGCAGAGATAACCGGCTCCTTCTCCGTCGCCACTCCCACAGAGCCGCCTCTCAGCCTGGCTTCCCCACGAACCGCAGCCTGCTCCAGTTTCACAGTCAGGCCAGAAGAGCATGCGCAGTAGCGAGAAGAGCCTCCTTTGAGGCGGCTCCACACGCATGCGCAGTAGCAAGAAGAGCGTCCTTTGGGGCGGCTCCATACGCATGCGCAGTAGGAAGGAAAGCATCGCTTGAGGCGGCTCCACGCACATGAGTAGTAAGAAGAAGCGCGTCCTGTGAGGAGATTCCACACGCATGCGCATTAAGAAGAACATCGTCCCTTGGGGTGGCTCCACACGCGTGCGCAAACAGGCGCGCGCTTCCCTTGCGTTTCCGGTGCCCAACCTTGGGAGGGTCGTTGCTGCTCTCCAGGGCGCATGCGTGCGGAGAAGAGGCAGCGGAGGAAGCAAAACAAAGGCGACAACAAAACATCCACATCGCATCACCGAGTGATGGGACGGAGGTAGCCTAGAACGGCCTCCTCCTCGGTTCCCCCCTCCCTCAGCCCCAAACTCAGGCGACGCGAGAGCGAGGACGGGCCGGCGCGCGCCGTTTTCTTCCGGTAAGGCGGCGGAAGCGGCGGCGGCGGCCGCGGGGTTTCCTGAGGCGGGGAGGGAGCGAAAGAGCGGGACAGACCGGATTTCCTGCTCGCGGTCTTCCTTTTCACCCCGAAGCCTCCTCGGCTGGCTGCCCTTTTGCCTCATAACGTGGCCCAGAGGAAGGGAGAAAGAGCGCGCGCTCGTTCCTTGGCGGGATTGTGCTTTTCCCCTTCCGCCAAAAGCCCCCCTCAGAAGTGAGAGCAGCCCCCAATGAATCAATTGGAAGGGAAACGGCGTGTATGTGAGAGAGTTGGGGGGTCGATTTTGCAGAGGAGACAGTCCAGCGAATCCTTCAGTGGAAGGAGGAGGAAGGCCTCCATGTTGCAAGGGGCAAGGAACCTAAGCAGGGCCGGCCTAGTTCACACTTGGGTGGGAGGCCGCCAGGGAGGCGTCTTAGGCTATAATTCAGGGGAAGGAATTGGGGAAAACACCTCATTTCTTGCCTAGGAAAACCTTATGGAATTCATTCAGCTGATGAGCACCTTGAAAGTGCATTTAATCACATGGTATAGTCCCCTAAAAGGATGTAACCTTAACAGATTATTCTACTGCATGTGTATAAATAGGACAAATATCTATACTTGGATGGGAAACTAATAAGGAATAGCGGGTGCTGTAGGCTATATTTCAGAGGAGGGAAATGGCAGAAAACATCTCTGAATATTCCTTCCTGAAGAAAACCCTCTGAAATTCAAAGAATCAGCGGGCAACTTGATGTGTATGTATATGCACATATATATGTGTATGAGTTTCCTTTTTATACACATAAGATATCCCCCAAGAAGTATATAGCCTAACAAGTTATTGTACCATATCTGTATAAATAGGTAAGATATCTCTTTGTTTGGATGGGAAATCACTAAGGAATAGCAGGCACTATAGGCCATGTTTCAAAGGAAGGAAATGGCAAAAGACATCTTCAAATATTCCTTGCCTAAGAAAGACCTATGAAATTCATTCCATAAGTCAACAGGAGAGTTGAAGGCACATACATGTAAGGGATTTGAGCCAAAGAAGGATGCCTTTCTATTCCTGGTTTTTGAGGAGCTTTACTGGGCCTAGCATTGTGTGCTTGTGTGAATATTGCTTATGGCCTAGCCTCTCCTATTGTTTCCCTTTCTTTGCTTCTGAGCAGCATATTTAGGTATAGTGCAATCATGAAGGAAGAAGCAGACACAATTAGAAAGGTGGTTCAGGTGGAGTATCCCTTATCTGAAATGCTTTAGACCAGAAGGATTTTGTTTCTGATTTTAGAATACCTTTGTTTACATCTACGTATATAATGAGATACCTTGAAGATGACCCCCAAGTGCTAAATTCGTTTATATTTTACAGACATCTTCCACACATAGTCTGAAGATAATTTTATATACATTTTAATAATTTTGAGCATGAGCTTTGTACATTGAACCACCAGAAAGGTTTTGCTATCTCAGCTACCCATATGGACAATTTTGGAGGATTTCATTTGGCTTCATAGGGGATATGCATTGTGTATTTACAGAGTTCTCTCTTGCTAGGTTTTCGTGTGAAGAGGGAATATGAAAGTACATTCTTATCATAATTTAAAGTAAAGCACCTTGAATGAACATGTTGGGAAGTAGTCCGCTCTTTTGTTCAGTGCAAATAACATTTCTTTTTTGTCATTTAAGTAATCGATACAAAAAAGCTTCTTGTATACAGGGCATAAACTGTGTAATTGTGCATACAAATAATTGTTTATAAACTAGTGCAGTATTTGTTCAAAAAAACAATTCCAAGTGATAGCGCATGGAGAAGTACAATTTCTCCAGGTTCTCCAGTGCATCAGCTTCCAAGATAAGTTGATCATAGTCATGTTGGAAGAACTACGAATTTTTAGCAATATATTTTCTCATGTAAAAAAAATAGAATTTTCTTTATTTGTGGGTTTTCACTTTCACAAGGGTTTTATACCCCTAACCCTAGCAAGTGTGGAGGATGATTGTTCTCTTTTAACAATTTCATAGATATTGTTGATGATTTAAAAAAAATAAAATTTACATATATTTTGAGGGCAGTCCTGTACATGTTTACCTGCTCAGACATGGGAATCCACTAGTGACCTTGAACAAGTCACACACTCAGCCTCATAGGAAGGTAAGAGCAAACCCTCTCTGAACAAGAAAATTCTATACTAGGTTTGTTTTAGTGTTCTCATGATATAGAAATCATTTGAAGGCACTCCAAAACAACATATCTCAATTACATCAGAGATTGCAAAGCAGGAAGCAAATATCAGTTCACAAGAATGTAAGATTCACTGAGATCCTTTAGTAAAGATAGTACAATCCCAGAAATGCAGAAATGTCAGGAATTTAAAAATGTCTATGTCTGCAATAGACAGACATATACAGACATTACTTTAAAATATTCTGTTTTCACATTTCGAATGACTAAAACAATTGCCAGATTCTTGTTAGGAAGCTATAGATTCATGGGCACCATATTTATAGTGTTACACAGTGAATCCCATTCACCCCAATTCCTACTTGCTGGGTAGAAGGCCCGGCACTTGATGGAGGTCTGTGATCCAACTGATTGGAAGCAGTGACTGATGTTCTCATTCCTTCTGTAAGCCATTTTCATTGAGACAAGCAGAAGCAGGATCTCTGTTGCAATATCCTAATGCTGGAGATTGCTTGGTTCTTGTTTTTAAAAGCATTGAATGCTTTCCAAAACAAATTAAAATGTTCATTGCTTCCCTCCTCCTCAACCCCCAATTGTTTCTTTATTCAGGTCCTTCTTTGGCAGGAAGTTCTGTGTTAACCTTATCCAATTTTCTGATTCCCCCTTGGGCTTTTAATCTGTATTGTGAAAGGCATGGAGGATAAGAAAAGGCAGTAATAAAATTCAGACTGAATGCAGTGTTTCCTGATTGTAGAAAATGAAAGACATTACACTCAGGATATGTTTTTATATTAAAAATGTCTTCATATATGGGAGTTCTCTTAATATGTGGCACAACTGAAACAAAACTCTTGTTTCACGCAGAAATTTGTGACAACTACAATCATTATATTCAAAAGATTCTACAAAACAATACGCAATACAGCACCTTTGGCTAGTTAGCTATTGTATTCAGGAGATTAGCATGCCTCAAGGGCGTTGATAAAACTAGAACTGTTTGATGCTGGAAATAAATTTCAACTTATGAAATCTTTTTAAATACGCAAATTAAACTGTGGAGAATTTTAGGGATACGTTAATCATGATCTGCCATTGCTCTTTCTTATAAAGTAGTTATTCTTAGCCTAGTGAAGACATTCTTTTCTGAGAAATTAATAATTAGATCTCAGCATCTTATTTGAGAATCTCAGTCATACAGTATCTATAACATAAGCACTTTATTGGATCCAGGCAGCATCCTACTATTCTTTGCTACCACCACAGGGTCACAAACAGCTATAGTTGGACAGTCCTGAATTTCAACATCCCTCTTGGCAACCCCCTTTTTTCCAACAACACATTGTCTATGTTTTCCAACAGCAATGGTACCAAAGTTCATTTCATATGGTATCTGTCCTTGAACACTTCCCAACTGTATATCTAAAGACAAAACCATGTAGAATTAATTTGGTTGCCGTAAGTCAGCAAGCAACATGAAGGCACCCCCCCCCCCAACATCTAAAGAATGTGTATGATGTCAGTGACATTCATATTTAGGTAGTCATGTCCTCCTATGGACTACACATAGTGCAAACTCGTATCTCTTCTATTCTAATTGTAAAGTTACCCAGTACAGTACTTCGTGTAAATAAACTTGTAAGGACATTCTTTTGGTCCAAAATCATGTCAATGGCAAGGTATCTTACAAGACATAACTTCCCTGTTCCTTTGACCAACACCATTTCCCATGATATTTGAAGAACTATCAGTCCAAGAGCTGAATACCTTGTGATATCCATGATCCTTTGGTTTGCATATCATCTTGTTTCTCCTGGTCAGTTATTTTGATCTCAAGAGAATAAATATTCTCTGTGACAGCCATAACCCCTGTGCCATGAAAATATAACCATACTTTTAACACTATCTGAATTGTTTGACTAGATCTCTCTCCCTCTTACCCCCTGGTTGGTGTTTTTTCCGTTATGTTTTCAAGACGGGGAGGACTGGTTTCACCTTTCTTATCTCTTTATTAAATTCAAAGAGGTCATATGGTGGCAGCTTATTTCAGCACTTGTTAATGGTACATGAACAGTAGGCTTAGTTATACAAAAACGGTTTCTACCTTTCTAATGTTTAGCTGAAACTAAATGCCCTGCTGTGGCTCCTTTCAGTTTCTTGTAATAGTTAAGTGATAAATTTTATTTAATAATGGTGAAATAATGTTTGTTTTTTATTCACATGCACTCTTAACTTGTCTGACTGCTTCCTGTTCTGATGCTTTTGTTTGTTTGTGTGTGTGTGTGTGTGGGGGGGGGGCAACATGACTGTGGCAGTTTTTCCATTGTGTTTGTGGTTACCTCCATGTTCGGTTGGACTTATGTCATAAGTAAAAGGAATTTGGTACCTGTAAAACATGCTTGCCCATAATAGCTAGAGAAGCTGAACTGATAAAATTCCTAGTCAGCAATCCAATTTGTACAGTATTAGTCATGATTAGGATCATTGCACTGCTATTGCGGGATTGTGTTTTGAGTGTCTTGAAAACTGGAAGCTGTTACGATTTTTTGTGTGTGAAAACACCAGTGTTGTTTCTGGCGTTTATTGTAGACATTGTTCTTTACTATATGTCACAAACTGCAATGTTACAAGTTGCGACTTTTCTTGTGCTGGAAAACACAACCCAACAACAGATCAGTGTGAGGAGCCCCAAATTTATGACACCACCATCAGTCAACAGTTACTCACTTACTTAGGTGATCCCTCGTTGGCCGAGTAGGATAATCCTCTAGGTGACTATGGAGCCCTATTCTTGATCTGCATCGTCTCCCATAGTGAGGGCATTGGTTTCCAGGTGGAAGGCGGTCCTGGCCGGGGTTGGCTTGATGCGCCTTCCTCTTGGCACGTTTCTCTCTTTCGCCCTCCATTCATGCCTCTTCAAATTCTGCAGGACTGCTGGTCACAGCTGACCTCCAGCTGGAGTGCTCACAGGCCAAGGCTTCCCAGTTCTCAGTGTCTATGCCAGAGTTTTTAAGGCTGGCTCAGTCAACAGTACCCCTCCCACAGCTGTATTTGATTTAATTTAATCAGCAGTTTTGTATGTAGCTGTAGCCTTTTATAGATGTGGCATAGTAGGTGCTTATATTGGATCCAGGTTAAGTGTCATTTATCCCAAGTGCTTGGGACCAGAAATGTTTGGGATTTGAGGATTGTTTTTTTAAAAAAATGTGAAATACCTGTGCTTGCATATACATAATGATATATTCTGCAGTTGGGGCCAAAGTCTAAACACGAGTTCCCAGAATCCACTCACCTGCTTACTGGTAGTAATTGATTCTGCTCAACATACCCAGCACAGGAAAGGTTGGTTTGCCTCTTTCCAAAAGGAAGAACCACAGAAAAGTTCTTGCGTCATGCAAAACCCGAGACAGATTCAGAGAAATGTGTCTTCTCTCCTGCACTGCAGAAACCCCTGTAGTTTATTTTATTGCTTGGATGGTAAAGTGTGATGATGGCTAGCTACCAATAATGGCTGGTTAGATAAGTCAGAATTTATGGGCGCTTGGTTAAACACATATTAAGGAACCAAAAAAAAAACATGCATTGTCCTAATCCTGACTCCTGAATATAAATTAATGTGTTTACTGTGTTTAATGGAACAGAGCAGAGGGCAGAGACAAAGCAGTCTGTGGAAAATAAGCATTACATGTTAGGTTGACCTAGTGCAGCAAATTAACAGTGCATGTTTATTGCCTTGCAATGTAGTGAATCATACTTTTACCTACATAATGTTTTTTATCAGCCCCTCGTGAATATCACGTAGGCATTTGAAAAACATTTCAAGACTTGTTTAATGTATAAGGTTAATTGTAGGATACTGCAATTATTCCAAGAAGTATTAGTCATATCCTATCTTTCTCTATTTTTTATTTTAACTTAAATTTTGTTTTGAATTTGTGTAGTGAACATATTCAAAACACAGCCAAATACACCTTTTTCTTCCTCACCTCCTTCCAGTTCCCAGGTATTTTGTCGTCTTAATCGGGTGAGGATCCTTTTAATGAACAGATTGTAAATAGGTGTTTCAGTTGCTTCACAGAAACTAATTAATAGTACAGAAAGCTGGCTAACGAATAAATGGTGGGAAGCAAATATTTCCCCCCTGCTCAGTTTGCAATCAAAGATGATGGCTGTACCAGAGAGGGTGTGTTTCCTGTTAGGACATATATGAAACAATAGTTGCCTTTGCCAGTACTGGAACAGGCATCATTTCACAAACTTCCTCAGATGTTATTATTAAAATATATACTTCATTCACCCAACATGAGCTTATATTTCACAGGTACCCCTAAAAGTTTTAAAAGAATATATTGCTGCCTTTCATTTAAGTTATATTATTAGATATGATTTATATTGCAAATATACAAGTATAATATGGTTATATTAGTCAAATGTGCTAATCAGATTTTATGTACTGAATTATAAACATTGCACTAGATCAGTGGTTCTCAACTTGTAGTAAACTGGCTGGGATTTCTGAGAGTTGTAGGCCAAAACACCTGGGGACCCACAGGTTGTGAACCCCTGCACTAGACTATAATCAGTGTCATTTCGGAATACATCTTATTAAAATCTCTAGAAGTTCTGAGAAAATATGCATTGTCTAATATGTGGTTGTGCGAGGCTTTGGGTGACACTGAATATTATTTTTGGGATAAAGAATCTTTAATCTTTCTTTGTTCCTTTAGGGTAACATTCTTGACATTTGGGAGTTCCTGTCTTGCCATTGCAACGCTTGTGCAAATTTTTCAAGATGCCAGCAGCACTCGCAGAAAATAGTCAGGTGATTTGTGAAGTATGGGCAAACAATCTAGAAGAAGAGATGAGGAAAATTCGGGAAATTGTTCTCAGCTACAGCTACATTGCAATGGTAAGCATGTGCTTCAACATTCAACTTGCATATAAAATCTTGAATTTTATTCTAGACAGTTGAGTCATTTTGGTTGAAACACATTAGCCTGATCCTAAACAGAAAGTTGCTTAATGTTTTAGATTAGAGGCTGGCAATTTTGGGAGGTGAAATTTCACTTTTGTCTACCCCTTCAAAAGCAGGAAAAATTGCTGTAAATTCACCCTGGAAGTGACAAGAAGTAACAAGAAGTTACTCAATCCTTCTGTAATATATTTTTGCCTGAAAAATAATCTGATTGAAGGAGAAAGGTGTATGATGTGTAGAGATTTAGGCCACAAATTAGGAATGATTCATGTCGCCTATGGCCTGTGGATCACACTTCTCTATCCTAGTTTTAGAGATACATAAATGTCATTTTAAAAATACTGATATCTTGAAGTATTTTCCCTGGATTATGAATCTCAAAACTGCAAACGCAGCACAGATGCCTGACATATTCTGTGTAAACCGTGCAACATTTGAATGTTTTGTCATAAAATTTGGGACCTGACTCTCAGTTTTATGCTATCTTTGTGATTTTTTTGGAAGTAGGTGGATACTGCTGTTGGAGAATGCACCTCTTGATAGACCTTGCAAAACAACCTTGTATTCTCAATATGATTAGTTACAGGAAAATGAATTGCACATACTCTGTACATTTACACACAGATTATACCTACACTGTACTTTCATTTTTTTCTGTCTAATTTAGACTGTATTGCTCCACAAATGTCACCTCTTTTTCTCTGCCTACTGAATTTTGGGGCCAAGTAGCACAAAAGTTTTCATTTTACAAATTGTTAATACTCTGAATAACACAGATGAGCTTCAAAGAATAGTTTGTGGGATGCAACAGGCCAGAATAGCTGATATCAATTCTTCAGTGAACCTCAGAATTTATAGAATGGGAATGTAGTGATGCATCCACTCTCTTATTTCTACTTTGGATGCCCAGATGTTTCTATGAAGAAGTAGAACAAGAGATATTAAGAAGGAGATATTAATGGGGCTGCAAGCAACACTTATAGCATTGTTATGCCAAAAATAGTGTAGGCATCAACAAATTGAGGGAATTATTTTGGATACATTGATAATAGCTTATTATGTAGTGGAATATATTGTCCCTGTGAGCAAAAGCTCTGATATTGCTTTCCTTGCAAGCTCAGAAAAGCCTGATGCAATCTTCTGGTACTATGGTTAGGTGTCACTGTTAATAAAAAGGGTTGGTTTGAATTTTTCTCCTACTTTCTTAGGATACAGAGTTTCCTGGAGTTGTGGTTCGGCCAATAGGTGAATTTCGCAGCTCTATAGACTACCAGTATCAGCTGCTCCGGTGTAATGTTGACCTCTTGAAGATTATCCAGCTAGGACTGACCTTCACAAATGAGAAAGGAGAATATCCTGCTGGAATCAACACCTGGCAGTTTAACTTCAAGTTCAATCTTACGTAAGTCTTCACAACTGGGGGAACTATTTCTCTTCCATCCCTCCTCCCGCCTACCAAAAGACCTGTGACAAAGTTAAAAAAAATAAAAACTTCTTGGCATGCTAACAGGTTTATTCAAAGAAGACATTTCTTTCAAGCATAAAGAAATTGTTACAGGTCAGTGTGCCATTACAGAAGCTGTTGAGCAATTAGTCATTAATTAAAAATGTAAAATAGTGCCCTGATTAGGACCTGATATTTTCAGATGAGTAAAACAGAAATAGGTATACTAGTAATTGAACAGCACCATTTTTGGCTTATGTCAAGTATTATTTGATGTGTCCCTACATTTTGCCTATGAACTTCCACAAGATAATAGAAGCTTCCCAGCTTGATTCACTGTTGTTACAAGTTATATAGAAGATAGAAACAGGTGTTATACTGTTGTTGTTTTTTTTTAAAATGTGTGAACTGTGAATCAAAATATTGGTTGAATTACTTGTCTCAGAGATTAATTATGGCAAGAATGGGAAATCTCTGCTCCCAGAGGGCCTGCCAAGCTTTTTTTCCTGATTCTGTCCCCCTGAGATTTCTACAGATCAGCAACACAAAGAAAACTGGTCTTTAGCATTCAAATGTGAAATAAGACCTAGGAATCCCATAACAATAATATAATAATAAAACGTTATTACATTAAAATGAAATTACATTAAAAATATCTGAAAACGGTGTTTCATTTAAGATGTATCATAACAACAGTCTAATGCACGTAGATTAGCCATCAGTCCTAATCCTCCTCCTCTCCATACGGTAAAGCACAAAGGTGCGTTTTTAGAGGTGTCTTAAAAGGAAAGGAGGGTGGGGTTCATTTTTATTTCTTTAGGGAGGGAGTTCAAGAGATGGGGAGCGATCACAGAGAAGGCCCCCTCTCGTTCCCACCAACCGAGCTTGTGACAGGAGTGGGACTGAGCGGAGGGCCCCTTTGTAGACTGCGGTGCACATAATTCAGTGCTATGGGTAGGCAACCGTCAGTTCATCTGAGCTGAAGAACTCCTGATAATAGGGACTGTGAGAGCTCTTACCAGATACCATCCAGCCACAGGGCGGTGTGTCCTAGGAAGTACGTTATTCCTTGAAGTTGAAACAATGAAAATTGATGTTTACTATTCATTGTTCTTTCATTAGAGAAGATATGTATTCTCAGGATTCAATAGATCTTCTTGCAAGCTCTGGACTGCAGTTCCAGAAACATGAGGAGGAAGGAATTGATACTTTGCATTTTGCAGAGCTGCTTATGACTTCTGGTGTGGTGCTTTGTGACAATGTCAAGTGGCTTTCATTTCACAGGTTGGTAAAATATTCTTTCATTTCCAACTCTTTTATGTATTAATAAATCCAACATTTGATTAATAAGTTTAATTTGTCATTTGGATTTAAAGAGCATAAAAACTTGTAGCTCCAGTAAACTTGACAACTGTTTGTGGTAGGGCACCCTTTAATAGTAATACAATACTACTGAAAATCATCTTGCAAAGTTACTGTTGAATTGTATGTGCCAGCAAAATATTCACTTCCTGACAATAAGATTATCAAATAATTATTACATTGGGAGTCCTTCAAGAAAAAAGGGTGCTCAGAATCATTGACCTCAGTAAAGAAGTGATAATTAAAAATTGCATTTATTGAATTTTATAGATACAATTCAAATTTATCTTTTAATTGAGGGCATTTCACTCAGCCCAATTTGCCTCACAACAGATATTTTAGACAGCTTTCCATTTCCAGAAAGAATGCCTCCTGAGTAGCTTTCGCCACACATTTGTCCCAATTCCCTGTAGCTGATGAGAAATAGACAAGCACTTCATATTCTTATGCTAATCATGCTCTTCATCTTCTGGGAAATTGCCCAGGGGTTATCTCTATGATGACCCTCAATAATGGTAGTTACTGAGTAGTACATGGAGCATGGCCAAGATCAAGCGTTGTGAGATGTAACTATGATGATGGAGCTGTAGCATCATAATGTGTCCGACAAATCCACCCCTAAAGGCTCTGCCTTTTTACCCAGGCAGTAAGTAACCCAAGGGATTTCTGAAGTGCTGCAGAGTGCAGTGCTCCTCAGGTCATGCCAGTCAGTCTCAAATCCTGTTACAGTGGTTTTCTCAATGCATCCTCAGACTGGGAAAACACTTCATTTTCTGGTACTGCTGGATGAAATAGGATGATTTTTGAGTCACATTTGTTTGTGAATGACTAAATAAGAATTGGACATTGTAAAACCGGTTTTGTCTCATAACTACTGAACAGGTGTCAGCCCTTGTTTTTAAATTAAGGAGAAAGAATAATAAGCAGAACATTTTTTCTGAAGTTTGTTACATAAGCATATTGTGATCTCTCTTTGCACCGTTCCTCCACCAGTGGCTATGACTTTGGTTATATGGTGAAACTGCTGACAGATTCAAGGCTTCCTGAAGAAGAACACGAATTCTTTCATATCTTGAATCTCTTCTTTCCATCCATATATGACGTTAAGTACCTGATGAAGAGTTGCAAAAACCTAAAGGTATCCTACTTGAGTTTTATTGTTTTAAATGCCAAACTAAGTTGCTGGTTGCATTACCTATTTTTTCAAAAAAGCTAAAGTGAGATGAAGTCCAGGTTGCTAGTTAAATGTATAGATTTTAAAAACTTAACCATATAATTAATAATAGTAGTTTCAGTTTCACATAAGCATGTTGGAATTGTTATGCATTGATTGTGTGTTATTTGGCTGTAGCCACACATTCCCAAAGTAAAATGCCATTGTATAGGTGCCGGTCAGGTTTTTTATTTGAGCTTTGTATCATCTGATGCCAATGGCAAGTGTGTTTGCTTCCCAGCTGTACTGACTTGATATTTTTCCCATTCTGCTGAATTCTTGATAGTCTGTGCTAGTTAACTAATTGTAAACCATCTACAGATAGACATAGGGACACAAGATTCAGGAGCGAGTGGTATTAAGCAAACGTACAAGCTATCTTAACACAGGTCACAAATGCACGGGAATCAGGATGACCACAAAATCCATTACACCTCCATCTGAGCTACAACTGAGCTCAGAAAAAAGGACTTTCTAGAAAGAGTTTTTGTAATTGGCATAGTTCCTTGTTTCTGTGCAAAAATGATTAGAGTATGTGATTTTTGATAGTTCTATAATACGTTGTATTCAGATTATGATTTTGGTCTGTCTTGCATACTTAATATTTCTGAATATTGTTGGTGAAAGGCATCTGTTCTCATCGTAATTAACTTTTTCCATGTGTTTAGTTATCCTAGTTGGATAAAGATGCAGTGCTGTTGGAAAATAATCACCCCCTATTTATGAAAGCAATCACTTATTGTTCATTCACTAGTGTGTAATAACGCTGTTATTGCCCAAGGTTAAATTTAATTTTCTTTGAATTGTGGTAAGATTCCTATCCCTCACTTATTCGTTCTGTTGCTCTCAAATTGACTTAGCCAGGGAAAGGTAAAGGGAATGTGGGCAAGTTGTTCAGGTCTCGGGTTTCTTCCTTGGTTCCAGGGAGGCCTCCAAGAAGTGGCTGACCAGCTAGATTTGCAGCGGATTGGACGGCAGCACCAAGCCGGGTCAGACTCGCTACTCACAGGGATGGCATTTTTCAGGATGAAAGAGGTATGCTTATTTATCAGTGTGCACAATAATACGTATAAGGCTTGACCTTCTTTGCATGATGAGCTACTTTTGGGAATTAACAATTCCCCTTCCCTAACATTGTGCAGTTGTTACCGCTGCAGCAATGACGTCGTTGAAGTCTAATTATATGTCTAATTATATGAAAAGTACAATCTAACTTTTTTTTCTTTTTGTAGTTGTTCTTTGAGGATACAATCGATGATGCAAAGTACTGTGGGAGACTGTATGGCCTTGGCACAGGAGTAGCTCAGAAACAGAGTGAAGATGTAGAGACAGCGCAAGAGAAAATGAGTATTTTGGCAATTATCAATAATATGCAGCAGTGACAACTAGCTGTCATTCGAAATGACTTGGGTCCATGGAGGTAAACTCTCTCCTTAAACAAGTCTCTCAAAGAAATTGTGGAAGAACTAGTATGTTTTCTGCAGAGGGCAAAACATTTGAATCTAAATGGATTCTAATCAGGCAGCTTCATAATGGCTATAGTGTTTTGCCCCTGTGTAAAAACCAGAAAAACTACAATGTAAATACCTCTTTTCTTTTAAACTTTACTGAATTTGCAAGGAGTATATAATGTCAGAGCTTTCAGCAGAGCTGAGGCTCTCTCATGCACTTGCAGATTTAGCTTTTGAAAGCTTGTTTTAAAACTTTTTTTTGCTCTCTGTGAGGGTGATTTGTTCCCAAGCCCTCTGCTACTTTTATCTTTTGTGTAAATCCATCTGTGAAAGTGTTCCACTCAGCCCTGGTGGTGGAGGCCCTGCATGAACTGCTTAGATCTGCCTTAGCCGCAGCCCTTGTAGTGCTTCTGGATAGCATTACAGCTGGCTCCTCCCGCTCCTTTTAGATTGCTGGGCCATGCATCATATCAGTACATTTCATCTGAACCACCGTAGAATGGAGCAAAACCTGTCTGCATGTTTGAGGCTACATTAATAGTTGGGACCAAAAATGGTTTCACTTTAAGTGAAATACTTTACCCTTCTGCTAACAGGGATATTCAGAAGATTGACGGAATCACAAGTGTATCTGCCCAGGAAAGGCTGACAAAGCTTTTCTTTCACTCTGTTGTGAAAAGGAGACCTTGATTGTTAAGTGGTTTGGGGAAAAAAAGTACATTTAACTGCAAGTTTCATACAGTCCTGACACACCAAAGTCCTGTTGAGCGAGAGAGAAAATCCTGATTGTGTGGTATTTTAAAAAAAGCTTAAAATTCTTCATTATGTAAAGTATTGCAAGCTGCTATTAAAATGCTTGTGTATATATAGCTGGTTCTTAATTTTGTAAAATAAAGAATTTTCTTAAGGCATGAGACTATGAATTTTCTTTTTCTTTTGAGAGGGTGTTAAAATATATGTATGCAAAGAACTGAACAAAAAAAAGTCAATCATTAGCCCTGTTCTTCAAACACTTAGCAAACTGCTTAATGTAACAGGTAGGCTTCTAGAGCAGTCTTTCATGCTTCTATGTATGCAACCTCTTTCATAATATCAAGGTCTCTGGATTTTATTTCCCTTGTTAAACCAGGATCACTGGGATCCCAACTTGCTAACTATTGAGAACAATACTTGGTAATCTGTTCAAATGTTACAAAGCACTGTGCATCATCTCCTCCTTTCATAGATAATATTTAAATGGCTCATGCAGCATTTTTCTAGTAATGCTAATTGTAAGTTTGCCACCATAGTTAAAATAGCCCATCATAACAGGACTGCAAGGCTGTTACCTTACTTTTACATTAAGTTTGCTCGATTAGTAGAACACTTATTCTTTTAGTGTCTAAAGAAAGTACAGTTCAGTGTTTGTGGGGCCAGGGGCTTAATTCTTTACACTGAAAGAGATGTGTTCCAGTAATTAAATTTGGCACATGCAAAAGAATGGAAAGTCCATCTCATTCTCCTGAGACAAGAGTTTTCTATCAATAAAAGGAATCTCGTCATATCCTGTTGTGTATTCGCTAAATGCTGCCAGTTTGATTTGACTATTGGTGACTATGAAGGGAGAGACCTCCAAGTCACTGGTGTTTATACAACAATAAGTTAATTTCATTGAGACATCTTCTCCCCGTTTCCACTCCAGTGTGAGACATAAATTTGCAAAAGCAACATCCAATGTAAGCCAACTATAGTTTGTTTTTACTGTTGGCACTGTGCTTCCTTTTTGCAGTAAACCAATATCTATTTTTTTGAAGTATGTTCTAAATGTGGGCTAGAAATGTTACTGTTAGGTGGCTTTATAATTTGACCAACTGACCCTGAAGGTTGCTCAAAAACAGATCCTCTTCATCCTGGAGAGAAGTGACCAGCGGAATGCCACAACGTTCTGTCCTGGGCACAGTGCTATTCAACATCAGTGTAGATTACTTAAATGACAATACAGGGCACTCTTATCAAATCTGCAAACACCAAATTCAGCAGTATAGCTAATAAATACCCCAGAGAATAGGATCGGAATCCAAAATGACCTTGATAGTTTGCAGGGCTGGGCCAAACCTAACAAAAAAGTTTCAAAAGGGATAAATGTATGGTACTACACTTTGGTAATAAGAAAGAAATGCACAGATTTAAGATGAAAACAGTACACCTGAAAGTCATCTAGGTGTATTAGTAGACAAGTTGAATGTGAGGCAACAGTGATTCTAGGCTTCATCAATAGGAATATAGTGTTGAGACTGAGGGAAGTTATAGTTCAACCATATTCCGCTTTGGTCAGACCTTACCTAGAATAATTCTGGGCACAATTCAAGGGTACTGCTAAGACCAGAGAAGGGTGACCAAGAGTCTTTGTAGGTTACTAAACAGGCTGGAAGGCTATCTACTGGAAGTGCTTCAACTGTGTATTCCTGCATGCCAGTGGACAGGACTGGATAGTCCTTGTGGTTTCTCCCAACTCTGATTCAATGACAAATGGACACACCTCAATTTTAGAATATAATTTTTTATTGCTTAGGTAACACAAACTCCCTACCTTCTAAAAGCAGAGATGTTTGGGCCCCCCATATTAGTTCCCTATGTTCCTATCTTTCCAAATACAAAATAATTGGCAGTTCTTTAAAAATCGTATTTTGCTTTTAGAGGAACTTTACACTACTTCATTACACTCCACTAATCAACAGAACTGTATAACAGTAGTCTCCTGTCCATCCATCCAGAATGAAATATACTTCATATTAAACAGTCCTACACACCCAGAAAAAAAAGAAGAGGTTCATGAAAAGAACTTTTTGCAAGCATCTTTGCATATGTGAGTTTCTCTGTATTTTTTAAGTAGGTCTAGTGACTGTTGCTGTATTTCTGAAATGACAGACTCATGGTCCTGGCTGTCCATATGAAGAAGAACAAGGCAGCATTCCAATACATCAGGGAACCGGGAAGCCTGTGAAGAAAGTGATTTTGTTTTGTATGTATCCGAAAGTGTAATGCAAAATCCAGGCAGAGATGTATCTTACTACACGGCTACTATTTTAATACTCCTTTAATATTATGTAGCTAACATAGCTATGTATCTTCAAAAAAGGAAAAAAATATATTTGAAATGAGAACTACCTCTCTTCTCTCAGCTTTTCAACCATTTGATGACAAAGCTGCATCTTGCAAACCCTCTTGAGGTTTATAAAACATGTATTTTCTAATATTTGTAATAAAGGTACTTACTCTCCCTGCATTAAGAGGAGTACAGCCATGCCTTGTTGGGAAAATAATGATGTTTTACTAAATATGAGAACTAATTCATGCCTGCAACTTGAAGTTATACTCCTGTTAGGAGAATAAATGCCCTGCCATCTGCAGGCTAGGTGTTGATAACTGCGGATTCACATGAGACCTTTCTAATTAAAAAGAGTATTTGCTGTCCCAACTAAAAACAAAAGTGCTTAAAATATCTCATCCTATAGAAAAACAATGACTTTGTCAACAAGCCTTCAAGAGACCAAATTCCTCTTGGTTTTCTTATTACTAGAGCATTCTACTGTTCAGACTACAAGCATCAAAGCTACTTTTGAAACAATTTTTAAATCTTACCTTTATAGTCTCAGGAAACTCCGCTAATTTTTTATTAGCTTCTGTGAGTTGCTTTGTCAGATCTGGTAGAGAAATCTGTTCATTCACTTGGTCTTGACTGTCAAAAAAGATAAGTTTGAATTTTTCCAAAGACACATTAAAACAGTTAACCCTATTCCATACCTGTCTCTTATCAATGACTGTGGTAAAAGGAGAGACAGTAGACAGCTTAGTTTTAGGCTGTGCCATAGGTGAAACATTGTTATATTACACATTTTGAAAATTATTCTTCTAATAAATATTGTTTTCCAGGTTCATTTGAAATAAGAAATTGGCTTCATAGGCACTCTTTAAAGTCTTTTCAGCCACTATTATTCTTCTTCAAAGTAAATAAGTATCAATGCTTAGCAAGTGTTAGCCTCTAGGCTGGAGACTACTGTAATCTGTGGAGCCATGTCAGAATTTCCAAAATAGCAATTAAATTGTTTGCATGGCCATGGGGCAGTTGTACAACCCATGTCAAAGTGTCCTGTAATATTAAATTGAGGGGAAGGGAGCCACATTCATCGTCTTAATGTCTTAAGGGAGAAGCATAATTTATAGAAATATACACTATAGTGAATCCACAAATCCATATACTGGGATCACAAATTCTGAAGACACTTGACAATATAAAAGTCTTCTGTGTGAACCTAACTGCACTATTGTTTAAATGATAAGCTACTCTGATTTTCTCTAACAAATACTTACATCCTCCCCCAAGAGACACAAGTATCACCATCATCATCATGTCCCTCAATGGGATGTGAATTCAAGGTACCTCAGAGCTACTTTAAACCAATTGATTCCTATTGCTTGCAAAGTAAGGAAAACAATAATTTGCAATTTCTTCCTCTGAACGGGACACTGCTGCCCCGACCTTATTGGTTGTAGGAAAAATCCCATTCTAGGAAGATTTTGAATGCACTCTACATGCTAGTAAACAAAAGTTGCAGAAAAATTAATCCAGAATTACAATGAGATGGAATAATTGTAGGAATAAATCAGTCTAGGATCAAAAATTGTGACATTTGGAGCATTAGTTATAAATAAGCAAACCTGAAAAAGTATCAGTGGAAAACTCAAATATGTGATTTAAGCTGTCCATTTTTCCCTTGCTGATCTAAATCCATCTTAAAATCATTGCACCCTGGCTCTTAAGCCTAAAGGAAATGTTTCAATTACCAGTTCCTTTAGTTAGATCCTGTTTGGACTGAAAATTCTTAAGTGTTTATTTAGACTAGAAAAGAAGGTCCCAAGAATATTGTCGAAGGCTTTCATGACCGGAATCACTGTGCTGTTGTAGGTTTTCTCGGGCTATATGGCCATGTTCTAGAGGCATTTTCTTCTGACGTTTTGCCTACATCTATGGCAAGCATCCTCAGAGGTAGTGAGGTCTGTTGGAACTAGGAAAAAGGGTTTATATATCTGTGGAATAACCAGAGTGGGACAAAGAACTCCTGTCTGCTGGAGCTAGGTGTGAATGTTTCAACTGGCCACCTTGATTAGCATTTGATGACCTGGCAGTGCCTGGGGCAATCTTTTGTTGAGAGGTGATTAGATGTCCCAGAATATTTTGTATGCTTAATATTCACACCCTACAGAAATTATATATGTATATGTTGTTCATTCRTTCAGTCGTCTCCGACTCTTCGTAACCTCATGTATATGTACAGTATGTTATACGACAGCCTCTAATGGAAACCAAACCTTTATTGCAGCTTGCACATATTGTTGTAAATTGAAAATTGCCTTAAAAGTTTAAATATAAAACAGAACATAATTTAAACAATTGATTAAATTGATTTTTTGAACCACTCGGAGATAGGCTATAGGATGTACACAATACATTCCAAGTGTGCGAGTGTGCATGTATGTGTGTGGTGGTTGCTTTGATTTGTGGTCAAACTACATGAGATAAATTAGGACCTTAGTTTAACCAGAATTCACCATTCATCTTTGAAGACAACTGTGATGAATTAAATGCATGTATTTTTAATCCTCCTCTTCCTCAGCAAGTCTTCAATTAGCCTTACCTCTGGCCTGATGGGGTTTCAATCTCTTCATTCTGTCCATTGGTGGCACTTTGATGGAAGTTGTTTTTCTGATGCTGACAGATCATGTCTGTCAAAGTCTGCTGAACTCTAGAAATATCCCTCTGTATACTCTGGACTGCAGCATGTTCTGCTGACAGGAGCACTCTACAGGCCCCCAGTTTTACTTCTCTTTCCATAAATAGAGCTGACTTGGCTGGCAAGGCAGTTTCTTCGGG